TCATCCGCCACTCCAGCTGCTGTGGAAAACTTTGCTATTTTGCTGAGATGCAACATGGTGTGATGGAGACGAAAACAATAACCCTTTCACCGTAGTTCCTCTTAATCCAGCTTTGAATTGTGGGCACTTAAAGACAACTTTACAGATAGTTCTGACATGATTATTTTTTCCACTTGGAGTACTCTTGCCAGATTAGTACACTGGTACATAGGAAAACATACACTTAATTTTTACAGAAGGAAGAGTTTAAGTGTCTCTAACCATTAAAAGATAATAGACATATTTGCCTGCATAAATGTGGGCAGCCAAGTTGAGTTTGGTATTTATATTCACTGAAGCATCTTTAACAACTATCTGCAGTGTCCCATTCATGTAATGTGAGAGCAAATTAACATTGCATATGCTTTTAGGTCTTGGAGATCTGTTGTGAGATAAGGGAGACTAAGTAGCTCAACTACTTAAAAATAATAAAATAAAAAAAGGAGTTGGATGAACAAATGAAGGTTTAAGGTGTTTAAATAATAGTGATATATTTCTAGGCAGGCCTATTGACTCTCACTAAGACTGTTACTTATGCCATTTAAGCACTATTTTTAAATCCATTCCTTGTCTCCCAGATCACTTCCATTGAAGTATCCAATAGAATAATAGAAATTGCTTAAAGAACATTATTCGCTGCATCTATATCACCATATCCAAAGAGAATATTATTCACTCAAGCTTTGTGCATAACTGATCTTTCTCTCACCAGAGAAAGTAAGTGCCTAAGGAACAGAACAGTTCAGATAGTTGACACCAGCGAGTGCATCGACATCTCTTTCTGCTGGATTTGCACGCCTTTCCTAGCCAAGTGTTGAAAGCGAAGCACAGGGAAAGCAACTTTATGTCATCAGAGTCTCATTGCCTTTGCTGTAGCTAGTATTTTTATTCCTGGAGATCCCCTAACAAGCTTAAAATAGCAAAGATAAAAGCATATAAATGCAGGGCAATAAACCAGCAGCAATTAAAAAAAAAAAAATGCTGTTAGAATATAGAAATAGTCTGATGTGAAATCTGTCCAAAATGCTGAACAGTTAGATCAAGCTATAGGTATCTTTTTCCCTCTGTGCAGTCCTAAAGTCAGAGAGGCCTTGATTTTAGTCAATGTCATATATTGCCCATTTATTAATAGACCTCATCCATCACAGTGAGCCTGCACTGGTTAGAAAAGGATCCAAAAAGAAATGTGGGAGAGTTTCAGAGCCAGTGGCATATCCATTTTAAGAGAAAGCTGATACATGGGATGTAGTCACCCAGAAGGATGTAGTGGAGGTAATTGTCTGACTTGGTATAACCCTACTGGTTTTGTGTAAAATGTTGCTTAGTTATTAGCAGGCTTTACTCTGCTACTGGAAGTAAAAAACATGTCAGAGAGTCTCTGTTTTGCAAGAAAATAATCTGTTAATTGCAGACTAGTTTTATGTTTTGGATGGTCACCATATAGTTCCAAGAACTCAGGTTTGAGCACAGAAGTTTTTATTGGTTCAGCACATCAGAAGGTACTGGATCTGAATTTTAACATGTCTTCTGGATGATAAGATAATAGATAGTTTTCTGAGAAGCCATAATAAATAAGCATAGTCAGAGAAGCTGACATAGATCAAGAAAAATATGACACACGTGTGCACCCACATTTACCACTTGTACCTTTTCCCCAAACTATTTTTAATGAAGGAACAAAAATCCAGCTTTCTAAACACATGCTGACATTTCCATTTCTTAGAGAGAGATGTGACTGGAAAGTGCATAACCAAGTCCATATTGACTGTGCCTATTTATGACAACCTGGTTAATTGTATGTGCATATACAATACATTTGTATAGTTAAATATATAGTACAAGTATTTCTAGTGTTATATTTTTAGGTTTGTTTACACTTTGTAATTTTCTTGCTTGATGTGACTTTTGGTGAGTTTTAACATTTGCCCAGCCAGTCTCTCTGTCTCTCTGTGAGGTTCACGTGTAAACTGATTTAAAGACTGCATAATGACTGTTTGGCATATCCTACAGGCAAAGGTCCAGAAACCCTTTTTGCTGGCTATAACCTCAATGATAATGAGTGGCACACAGTTCGTGTGGTTCGGCGAGGAAAAAGTTTAAAGTTAATGGTGGATGACCAGCAGGCCATGACAGGTAGTGTGGCATTGTGACTCCATGTTACTGGGGGGAAACACAAAACAAAAAAATGACGGAAGTAAAATGCCTTTATCTGAAAGCAACAGATGTTTTGTTCTTTTCTTGGGTAAGATCCAATATCCATGTTGTGCATCTTGAAATACTGGTACTACAAGTGCATTATTACACTTGATAGTAATGTTACTCTAATGTTGCTATTGGAATTAATGAAAGCCTTCATGCTGACTTAAATGAGCGTTTTTATACAGTATTTGGAGAGAAGTCACTTGATACATCACTAATGAGAAGGCAAGTAAAATGCTTTTGGCAACACACTAAGTTTATACTAAGGTTAAATTCTAAGCCATTGCTGTAAGAAAGAGTTTCATAAATGTTTGAAGGATATTCTATTGTGTTTTAAACCTTGCATCAGCTGTCCTCAATAATTGAATGTTAGGCAACAGTTTTTTTCTCAAATATTAAAATAGTAGTTGAGAAGGGAGAAAAAACATGACATGAATGCTAGCAGACGTTAGAAATATATTTCTATGTATATATTATCAGAAATTATAGTGGAGAATACTTTTTGATTTTTGTTCTGCTAGAGGTAAGGCTTACACATGTGTTGTTAATAGCAACAGACTTGGCTTCTGGCCATGATTCCTTGTGCAATACAATATGCTTAATTTTATTTTAGGAATTTAGTATTTTCCCTTGTTTTTTTTTAAGTATTAAATAGCTTATATCATTGGCTCTAAGCTTTGTTAAGATGGTAAAACTTTTAATGGGCTTTAAAAAGGAAATCTCCTTTAATAGTGCCTTTTCACCCCAGAAGAACACTGAAGGCCACATTCCTGGTAGAAAAATAGTTGCTATGTATTCATATACTTGTGAGAACATATTTTCTAGAATCAGACATTGCCAATAGATCTTCAGAGGTGAAGCAAATATTTATTTTGTGTTAGGTGATGATGCTTTGGGTCATTCTCTCAAGAAAGTAGATGCCCTAAACCTGTTATTTTCTTTGTGAAAATAAATACATAGTACTTGAGGAACTGTGCTAAAAAAACTTTACAATCCTGCTGCTTCAACTGCAACAAGACTACTTTGGGGACGTTTTCTAGTTAGAGGAAGCTGGTTAGATCTGAATAAAATATAGTGTCTAGAACCAAATGCTCTCTTCCTGGGCTCTCCTCATGGCAGATTTCTTATTTACAAATACTACAGGTTTCAAAACCACCAGGAAGTACTGTTTTCACCTTTGGGTTCAGTCTCAGCTGTTTAGTGCATCTTCAGAAAAGTTCAAAATAGATGTGAAAGGATTAAGATGAAAATGAGGTTTCTATCATACGTAGTCCAGCCAGGTTAAGGAATAAGTAAAGAATGCAGGACTGTAAGTTCTTGTAATCACTTTCCACTGAAGATAACTCTAGTTGCTATCAAATACCATGGTCTCAGCAAATAGCTGAGACACTGGAACAGGCTTCCTAGAGGGGTGGTCTATGCCCAAGCCTGTCAGTGTCTAAGAGGCATTTGGATAATGCGCTGAATAACATGCTTTAACTTTTGGTCAGCTAGGTGATTATTGTAGGTCCCTTACGCCTGGAATCATCTATTCTAGCTATTAAGCCAGCGAGTCTTTTCAGTTGCCTTGTGACTAAGCAAAAGTGTTGCCTGTGGGTCCAGCTTTCTGGTACAACACTTGTATTCCAGTACCTTTATCAGAAGATGGCAAGTTGACTGTAAATCCCCCTCAGTGCTTCAAGCTGGAAGTTGCCTACGTTTGCATACTCCACAGATGTTTAATGTTCTTCATCCAAAGTGAGAAAGTCATCACAGTATTTTGGAGGAAAAAATTCTTTGAAACTCCCTGCAGGAAGTTATGTCTCCAACCTATGTCTGCCTCTTATCAGTGAGGAGGGAACAGGCATGAAAGAAGGTGCTAGAGGCAAGTGGGAAGTTTGATAACATGGGAAATCTGCTGTCTAGTCCCAGGAATATTACATTTTCTACACGGAAAGTATTTATTGCCATTGTGATTTTTATTTTTTTTCCCAACAAAATGTGTCATCAAAAACTTAATGAGCTTAAGTTACAAATGTACACTATGCAATTTAATGTGTTGTAGCTTTGAATTTCCTGCAGGGGTAGTGGAAGTGTTGTCCCATCAGATTTGAGTGCTCTTGCTCTAAACTACTTAGAACTTTTCTTCAGATGTCCCAATGATCAGAAACGTGCTTAAAATATTAATCCCGTAATAATTCCTGTGAAAGCTTATTTACAATCTTGTAGAAAGCATGAGGAAAAAACTGGCTTTCCCCTCAAAAATTCCAGCTTCCCTTCACCACACACAGTTTTCCTTTTTTGACTCCATTTCTTATATATGGAAAGAAAACTCATCACATTCAGAAAGCTTAAGCTGGAGGGAAAGCCGTTAAATAATTCAGCCTGACTTTCCGTTTTTACAGGTTATGAAATAGCACCTATTCATTTGTGCATGGATAAATAATATCTTTCAGAAACATAACTAGCTTTCATTGGAGCTCATACAGGTGATTTTGACAATCTTCCTCACCATAGAAGAATTTAAATACTTGCAACACTGATGCCCTTTATTTTCTGGAAATGTATAGAAAATAAAAAAGGACTGAAGGAGGTCACTAGAGCTTGATAATTGAAAGGATTATCTATAATCACCACGAGCAGAAATTCACTCGGCCTTTTGTATGATGTCCCACAGCATTACAATCAGTAATAAGTGTTGTGCACTAACTCGACGACTTAAAAACCCTCACAAAACAAAACAAAAAACCAAAACCCACCGAAACCATCAACCCTGTAAGCACAAACTGCAGTCTCTGCAGTGTCTTTCTTTATTCACTCCAGTAGTTGCAAATACTGTGGAGCATTATGTGAAGTCTCAAGTCCTGTTAGCATGTTTGTACAACTGAAATGTTAAGAGGGAGACTTCCCATGTGAGCCCAGATTCTGAAACATTTTTACTACTACGCTTATGACAAAAGGATCGTCATGTGATCGTCATGAATGTGGTGAGGATACTGTGCTGCAGGCCAAAGCTTAGTGGATTTTTGCCACGACATTTATGCAATGCCATCTGAAGTGATATAAGACTGGAATACATAACATTCCTCTCTAAGGCGTGATCTTCAGCTCTCTGGCTGTGAACCGGTACACAGCTCTTGGCCTTGTAGAAAGTTACCAATTTGGCTTTTTTTTTTTTTTTTGAGACAGCTCCCTGACTCATTACTGCAACGAAGAACCTCTCTTTGCTTAAGACATCAGTGGAAGTAGTATCTTCAGAACTGATGTTTAGAAACAAGAATGCTCAGAAAGCTGTCCTTGAGGATTTAGGTGCCTCTTGCAGTGCTCAGCCATAGGACTGCAGATCCCAGAGGATGATGGTGTTCAGTGACTTCAGTAGAGTTAGTCAAATGCATCTCCAAGCCTAGTCAGCTGCTTGTAAATATTTATCATAAGTTATTAGAGAAATTTGTGTGTGTGGTCTGAATGGCATTAAAGCTTGCAGACCTGTTTTCACTGTAACTTCATTGATACCTGTATTTGTATCTCAGTGCTGTGGCATAACCTGTTGGTGAATCCATCTCCCTGGGCAAAGCCCAAGTATCTGCATTCATCTCTTCCCTGTTCACACACATCTACACAGACACTTGCTTGTAAAACCTATAAAGGTGCAGCTGTTTAATCCTGCCTCAGTGCTTTCTGCAGTAGTGCTAAACACAGCCAACCTGTGTTTAGCACTAGTTAAGGGAAGGACAGAAGAAACTCATCCTGGCCACAGCTTTGCACCACAATAGTGGGAACATGTATTACAGAGCAGTTTTATGCCAGTATTTATTCTAGCTTGGCTAAGGCCTGCTGTTCAGCTTCTTTGTACCCCATGAGAGACACCTGGGAAATCTAGGTCATGGTTTGTAAAAGATGAATTAAGTGGTAAAATTAATTAGTAATAAAAAACTGCTTTCTCATCATACTCACACAACGTGACCATGAATCAGCCTTCTTTAAAGCAAACATGGAAAAAAATCTAAGCTCTATTAGAAAAGGCAACTCTTCAGTGGGTGCAATTTTGATGTGCTGAGTAAGGTATTTAATAACTAGCTTTAAAATTTACCTGACTTGTATGTAGTGTACCCTGGCAGTGTTGATACTTTCCTTCCCATTAGGTGCATGGTCAGCAAATTTTAGGCTTTCTGCTGTGCAGGAGTCCTTGCCTGATGAAGAAAGACTCAAAGGTAGCTGTGAGGCTTGGGTTTGGCCACCTTTCTGGTGTAAGCAAAGCCCATGCTATTTTCAGGATTACAAGACACTGGCATACACCCTTGCTGCAGACTTTTTGCTCTGTCCGTCTCTTGGGCTCTGTCCCCTTCTCCCACTGTTTATCCCCATGGTACAAAGGTACCTTTCAAGGAAGGCTCTGTCCACTCTTGTAGCACAGAGTTTTGCAACAGAGCCAGCATTAGTATACCTAAAACAGCTTAAACAGGAATCCTTTTTAACTCTTGCCAAATCATGCACTTTTAAGAAAAAGACATGGAATATCCCCTGAACTGTTATGTCTCTCTTCCATGAAATATTCATGTTGTAGTTTTTAGCTCTGAGATTTGCCTTTGTGGTTCTCAGGTCATGTTAATTAATTGCACTTGCTTGTAGTAAAACCACTCATCCAGTTAAGTGCAAAAAAACTGAGGGATTTCATTGGCAGTTTGAAATACTGTGGTATTGTGTTTAAGTTTAGAAGTCTTGCTGTTGGCCTTATCCAAACATACTGAACTCAGTGGAAAGGCTCCCCGAAATTTACAGATAGTTTGGGTGAATTTAGAAGAATCCTCTCCAGAGCCAAGATTTGGCCTTGCACGTTCTGAAAATCGTGATATTGATGCAGATACTTAATCACAACATGCTTTTTGACCTCCCTTTTCAGATGCTAACATGTGTTTTCTTGTTGCTGTTTAAAGGTCAAATGGCTGGTGATCACACGCGACTGGAATTCCACAACATAGAAACAGGAATAATAACAGAACGGCGCTACCTGTCTTCTGTGCCTTCTAATTTCATTGGGCATCTACAGAGTCTTACATTTAATGGCATGGCATACATTGACTTATGTAAAAATGGAGACATCGATTATTGTGAGCTAAATGCAAGATTTGGGTTCAGGAACATCATAGCAGACCCTGTAACCTTTAAAACAAAAGCAAGTTATGTTGCGTTGGCCACGCTACAAGCATATACATCTATGCACCTTTTTTTCCAGTTCAAAACAACCTCTCTGGATGGATTGATACTTTATAACAGTGGCGATGGAAATGATTTCATTGTGGTTGAGTTAGTAAAAGGGTATGTATGGATTAGCATGATGACAAACACAATCTATTCAAAATGTATATGCAGGAGAAATACAAGGAAAAGTTTAGGATACCTTTTAGGAAACCTTTATCTGACTGTGCGTATATGGTTGATGAATGTTTCTTTGTGTTAAACTTCATGTGCTTTTATTGCGACTCTTTCTTTCAGGTGAAGCTAGATGCCAGGAAAATATGAAAGTAAATAATAGGTGTAACTTCTATGGTGTTTACCACAAAGGAGTACTAGTTTGTAGCCTTCCTCTTGTTCTCTCTCTACGTATGTATGCCCATGTTGGTACACGGAGTGCGTGTTACTTTCCAGAAGCTTGGGATTGCATCTCAGCTCATCTGAGCGAATGGTGATTTCCCTGAATCAAGGTTGCTTCCCTGTCCGTCATTCATTACTGTCTTCTGGTTTTACCAGCACTACCGAGGAATAAAAGGAAATAGGAAATAGTAAATATATTAATTACTGCCCACTTGCTATGTAAAGAAAAAGGAAACTTTTCCAATTTTTTCTCTTTTCCCAGATATTTGCACTATGTGTTTGACTTGGGAAATGGTGCAAATCTCATCAAAGGAAGTTCTAATAAACCTCTGAATGACAACCAGTGGCATAATGTGATGATATCAAGGGATACCAACAATCTCCACACTGTAAAGATTGACACGAAAATCACAACACAGAGCACAGCAGGAGCCAGGAATTTAGATCTCAAAAGTAAGTACAGACACTTCTGTGTAACCTGTACATGTATGTAAAGTACAGTGTAATTTTGTAATATGATATGAAATTTATTTTCTAATAATTGATATGGTCACAAGATGACATCATCTTTGTTAGTCTGACAATGAGAATTTAGTAGCAGATCTGCACAGTTAGGCACAACTTTAAAGGTATGAAAGTGACACAGGAATAAAAGGAGGAAATGGCAAGAGCACAGAGTGGTCCATATGTAGCAAATATATCTGAGGATCTAATGGAGCTCTAAAAAGTCTATGAAAAATGCTTGATTTTTACATGAACGTAAGTTGTATAAGTGGCATACAGAAAGACCCCAAGTTTTGCAGTATGACTACAGAAGATTTTCAGAACTAAATCTCTATGTTAGAGAATTGGAGAACACTTTGACCTGCCCCCTACGGTTCAATATTCCACATAAAACCTGTTGTTGAGAAAATAAATGCAGTGCAGTATTTTGCTATCATAAAATTTCTTGTAAGTAAAGCATCTATGTGGCCGTCCTCCAGTGAATGAGTTATAAATGCAAGCTGCCAGCTGTATCGAACCATAAACATAACTCACTTAAATATGTAATATGTTATAATTTTAATTGCAGGGTGGGATAAACTTGGTTTTATATGTCTAAACCTGCATTTTATAAGTCTATCTAGATTCTTAAAATCAATTTTAATAAACCAAACTGATATATGTGTGTATTTTGAAATAAGTAATAGTGCTCAGTTGTAAGGATGGGTTTCTGAAAAGCTAATTTTCTTCAGAGGAAACTATATCTTTGAAAGCACACATAAGTATACTTTTTAAATACAGATATAAGAAGATCTGTTCTGGTCATGTGAAAAAGTATTGTGTATTTTAGCATTCTTTATAAAAGGTCTTGTTAGGAAAACCAAAATTTCATAAAAGTCAAAGAAAAATTAATATTTCAAAAGTGAGGATGTTCAAAGTAGATATTAATATTCCATCAAGAGCTTATTGCTTGCTGGATTTTCTTTTAACTACCTTTGAGTCATGGATAATGAGCTGACCTTAGTAATTATTCTGGATTTTGTGATATTTTACATGTTTGCTTCACTTGAAAGTGCTATTAAGATTGTAAGAGATATTGTGAAAACTCTATCTTGATGTGTCGTAATCTTTGGTAAGAGTTTCTTTATTGAAAATGCTTTTTGACCAGCTCACGCTCCATTCTCAAAATCTTGTTTGAAATTCGTGCCGTGTTATCGTTTTCACATTCTTGTAAACATGTTCCATGATTATTGAGAGAATGTAATATTTCAACATTAATTTTCATGCTTTAGAGAAACCATCCACTTTATTCTTTCACGTTTTTTGCAAGGATGAGTATTACTTATGCGTATGCATATTTACGTATCTGTATTTAATTTTTTTTCCAATGTGTACTAATTATGCATATGCATATGCACATGTATGTATTTATTATTTTTTCTCTGGAATATTGATTAGACACGAGTAGGAAAAATTATCATGTTAAGAACTGGTAACTATCTTAACACAATCATTTTACATTTTTTCCAAACTGAATATGGTGGTTTGGTATGTTGCTATATCTAAGAAAAAAAAATGTACTTAATAAAGGCACTAGAGGGCACTGTTATTTCACTAAACGCACCGCTTAGTGCGTTCACAGAGACAGCTCATCAGCGGGGATAACCTATAAAATCCAACATTCTTTTGTTTTCTTCACTTTGAAAATTCCACTTTTGTTTCACGCTTTTGAAGTAAAATTGGATCCATACCTGGTGCATTTTCTAACCTTGAATTCCATTGGAAAAAAAACCCCTGAAGAGCATGAAAAAATATACAATGACTTGAGGAGGTAAAGGTGAATTGTATTAGGTGGTGGTTTTCTGTAAGTCACCACCCAGGGAATGTGGATAGTAAAAGAATAGCAAGCTTGACATACTCAATACAGTAACATATAGTGAGCATCTTTCTCAAACTGGTCTAATGTACACAAGTCCTCAACCTTTGTTTTCTCATAATAGTATGTTTCATTTTATTTTTTTAGATGTATTCTGTTATGTTTTGCTCAATCAGCTTCAGTTGACTATGACATGTCACATATCATGAGAATTTTTGTTAAATTTTTGGGAGACTTCAAGCTAAAACATTTTAGCCAGTAGCTAAAAAAGAGAAAAAATTGCACAGAATCAAAGAATCACAGAATATTAGGGGTTGGAAGAGACCTCAAAAGATCGTCTAGTCCAACTCCACTACTAGGACAGGATCACCTACAGTAGATCACACAGGAATTGCCTTTCATTATTGTTTTTTCCTCCTTTGTCTTCGGCTGAAATACGTTCCTGTGGCTTGTTCTTTTCTATTTTATGTCAGTATTTTAGGATGACACATTTCTGTTATGCTATAAACACTCCATGTATCAACATGCAGCTATAGCTAATTCATTGTCCTATATTACTTTAGCCCTAGCAGCAAAGCAAATTCAAACTTATACTTCCTGCTAGCGATATCAATAATTCTATTTAACCAGAGCTAGCATTAGGTGAAATACATGTACAGATAATACAGAATCTGCAGCTTTTCTGGGTAATTGTAGAGTTACCAGATCTCAGGTGCTGAAGTCCAGCCTAATCCTGGAAACGTAAATCGTATATATGCAGTTTTTCTGCAAATACACAGTGAATTCAGGATGACGCTATGACACAGATTGTCTTGTAGAACCCACATATCATGCCAGTTGTCTGGTGAAGCAGATAGTTGCCATAAAAGTACAGGAGAGAATTTCCACTATATGCTCCCTTTTGTGTGTAGGATTTGGCTATATAACATAGAAAGTTTATTATTAGAGACACAGATTCCCTGCATAACCTGTGGTACAGTTTCTGTGGATTGGAGTGGATACCTGTGGAAACACTTCTATTAACTCTATAGATTGATTATTGCTGCGATTAGATGGGCAAATTATAAACGAGAGACAAATTAATGAGTCAACATAGTTCTGTGTTTGGATTTCAAGAACTGTGGTGTTTCTCATAGCAGGGAAAATTAGCAAAGTGTAGTCGGGTGCAGTTCTAGCAGATAACCCGTGAAGATAAATGAGTCTTAACAGCAAAGGCAAGACAGCTCAAGCCTGCCAAGAGCCAGTTACATGGCAAATTGCCTTTCATGTATTTCACGAGCAGATTCCCTGTCCTGCTTTCAGTATAGCTCAGATGGTTAATGCGGCCACTGTTCGAGGCCTCTGCAGACTGAAATAGTTGGGCAGAGGCGAATTCTGGCTTGTGGGCTTGATGCTGTGCACTTATGGTCTGAAGGGTCTTGAGTAGCATCAACGGGGCACAAAAGCACAAGTGGAAGTGGAATTTGACTTGTGCTCTTGTTCCTCACTTTGAAGAGACCTCTCCTTTATTCAGACTGTCAGTATTGCAACAGCTGGAGAGTCTCTTCCGTCTACACATTCTCTTGCTGTGGTGTGGGAAGGTGGAGTTCTGTTAGAATTATTTATTTATTTTTTTACTAAATATTTGAAGGTGTGTGATCTGCTTTCAAGGAGGAGGAACATCCTCAAGCATGGCTTTGTATCTCCTTCTGTATCTAGGTTTTAAACTTCCTTTTGTCTCTCACCTGCATATACAGGCACTATTTTAATCTCCGAAGTTTTCACTCTTTCTTTAAACAGCAAACGTACAAAACCCTACGAAGTCCACTCACAACTCTCTTGGAATATCTGTTACAAGCATAAAATATTTTAGTGTTTTAATTATTTGTAAATGGAAGTGAAAGGTTGGAATACCATACTTCTACAAAATGAAAAGATAAGGAATGGTCCTGTTATTTTATATTTAACAATAAATAGTTACAAACTTTTCTAGGAGACTGGTAGTTCCTGTATTTGAGTATCCCATCCTATTCCAAACTTTCTAGCTATGCTCTGTCCTCCGGGATGAACTGCAGTCATTCCAATTTTGATATTAGGCTAACTATATTTTCTTTTTAAAAGTAAATCACCATGACAAAATCTCACCCAACTCAACATGCTTTTCTTTTTGAGTTAACATCCATATATTCAACTATTCTCACTGTTATCCTCTTCCACATGGCTTTCCTAAATTGCTAATTTTAGAGTCCATTTTAAGGTGTATGTTATTCCTGGTATACCACTGTGCCCTCAAAAAATGCTATTCATATTAGAGCATACATCATAATCAGCTTCCTTGTGCTTTTTTTACTTTCTTGGATTTAAAAAACCTGTCTAGATCTCCATTTTGTCTGCTTTACTTTTATTTCTTAGCTCTTCACTGACCTCTGGCTTCCTCTATTCCTTTACGAGATATGGCTGCTATTGCTATATGTGTTTGCTTTTTCATTTGCTGTTTTCCCCAGTAATGTGCAAACAGCCTTCTCTGAAGCATCTAAAAGAAAAGTAATTATATTAATTTCTGGTATCACCTCAGTGGTTTTTACAAATGAACTGGAATATACTTCCTACATGTACATAAAGACTCACTTGGCAATTAATTCCCCCTTGTAAACTTTTAATGCAATTAACTAAATTATCAGTAGATTTACTAGCCTGGCATATTCATTGATGATTCGTATAGTCACTTAATCTATTGATATCTCACTTTCCTGTCAAAGTAGGTTATTCATGCTATGCAAAACTGAACTAAATTAGTCTTGATCTAGTTCTAGTTCCGGCAATGGAAATTGAAATTGCTTCAATTTCATATAATATTTGTCCCTGTTGTTTTATATTAACCCCATAATTATTTCTGTGTTACATGTTGTTCTTTATATTACAAGATCTCTTCAACGGCAGTGATGCTTCATGCTTCTGTTTCTAAGAAACAAAGTTTTAAGAAGCACAGAAAAGTATTTTATATAAAAACACAAATTAGTACAAATGAATGAGTATTAATGCTTAAATTTCTTAGATAAACATGCACGAGGTAATTGGAATGACCTTGCCAGTGGGCTATGAACTCTTCATGCAG